ACAAACTTGATTTCATGACCTTCCTCTCCAGCACATATGGAATGAGACATGCAGAATCCAGTGTCTGTCTCTATTTCTGAGATGAGGTATTCTATACACTATTTATATTATTCGGACTATTGTCCTCATCTTTGTTGCCATATTTATCACAACGTTTCGGCCGTTGTATGCTCCGGCCTTCTTCAGGTGGTTGGAATGTCGAACTGAACCCTTTATTTCGCTCGCTGGGGTAGACTGTTCTAGTTCCACGTGCCATGTCTATTGGATGTCAGTTATCAACTATCTCCTGTTAATTTCTCTCTCCAAGTTCTCCATCGCCTTAAGCAGGTATTGAACTCACACTCTTTGGCTTCTGTCACTGGATCTAACTAACGTCTTTATCCACTGTGCCATGTGTCCTTGAGTTTTTCACTCACATATTGCAATACACTCCTACAGTAAAATCAATTATATTGCATTCCTATAGTAAAAGCATTGTTTTTTTATCTTTTCACTCGAAACAAGGCAATAAAGCCATTAAGACGCAATGAGTATGAGGAAAAATGAGAAGAAGAAAGATATTATTAAAGATAGAAAAAAATAAAGGAACAATGAATTAAGAAGACAAAAGATAACGATTGACATTGCATTCAAACTTTGACAGATCAAAGTTAACTGGAAAGCATGAGGCCGGAAGATAGTTCCATATTCGAGATGTGCGAAAGAAGAAACTATAAGCATAGAACTTACGGTTGCCTCTAATAAGTTCAACTGTAAAATGATGAGAGATTGCTAGTAGTATTCTTAAATTCATAAAGTCTGTGTTCCAAAGAGGAAAGGAGAATTACCATGAAAATATTTATAGGAAAGACTCGACAAAGATGCGTTACGGCGATGGGAAAAATGAGTGAAGCCGAGATGCCAGGTCAGGACTGATAACATTACAGATTTTTTTTTAATTTTATATAGAATCTCTAAATATGTAACAGAAGCACTGAACCAGATGTGACAGCAATATTCAATGAATTTACATTCAATGGTAGACTTCTGACTGTGTAAGACAGATTCTGGAGAGATAAATCTACAATATATTCATCTAATAAAATCATTTACAAAGAATTTCCATGTGAAAGTCATTTATAACGAATTCTTATCGTAAAAGCATTTACAGTGAATTTCTATCGAAAGATCATTTACAATAATTTCCTATAGTAAAATCATTTACAATACATTTCTTTACTAAAACATTTACAATGTATTCTTCTAACAAAATAATTTACAATGCATTTTTATAGTAAAATTATTTACAATGCATTTTTATAGTAAAATTATTTACAATGCATTTCCATAGTAAAATCATTTTCATTGCATTCCTATATTAAAATCATTTACAATGCATCCCTATATTAAAGTAATTTACAGTGCATTTCTATACTAAAATAATCTATGTGTTCCTATAATGTCTTAATTCACAATACATTCCCATAGAAAACTGAATATAATCACCTAAAATACATAGTATAGTATAGCTAACCATTTGTATTCGAGGATACCTGTCTACTAGGTCGGCTAACCAATCCCTATTGCAGACTCTTGCACAGGCATGGCTCAGGCAACTATGCTGGGCAAAGCTTAGTTACAGTTTCCGGGAAAGAGCGTATATAGAAGTGTCATCGACAATTTGAACAAGGGCAGCATGATCGTGCTATCGACGATCCCCAAGGACTTTGTCTACCCAATTTCACTCACAATGACAACTTTTTTAAAAGGTGCCTGGGATCGCCCCCTCTGATAACATCATGGTCTGAATGCCAATGTTCTAACCACTTGGCCACGTGCCCATAACACCTACAATGTATTCCTATAAGAAAACCAATAAATTACTATAGTAAAATATCGATAATGTATTTCTATAGTGTTGTGGTACGATCCACCTAATTTACATAGTGGAGTACCGACCATATAAATATGGGTTGGTACCGGAAGACGGGAGAAGTAAGAAGAGATCCAATCTAGAGACTCTGCCCGACTGCGACTAAGTCAACCCATTCTGCAGGAACAGTCTTCCCAAGAATATACCAATACTAACTGTAAATATTGTGTACCTTTTTCCTTGTTTCAATATATTTTGTTTACGTACATTTTGTGTTGTATTATTATTATTCCATGCTTATCCAAGCTTCAACATATAGTAAACTAATTTACAATGTATTCATATAGAACAAGTAAAATCATCTACAGTACATTGCATAGTAAAATAATTTATAGTATAATTCCTTAGTAAAATCATCTACAGTATATTTATATAGTAAAATCATTTAGAGTATATTACTATGATAATGAATAAATTCAGCATTTCCTTATGAGGAAACATTTTATATTCATTAATTCAACAGTTAGCGCTACAATCGGTGGAAATTTATTAAAAAGTCACGCTTCTCAAGCCCACTAAATGTTATAGCTCGTTCTAATATTAAACAGAGTTTCTTTGCCAGCTGTGGTAAGTAAACACCTTGGTTATATCATTATTTTCTCTCCTAATTACGTGTGCTAACCATTTTTTGTTATTGTTAAAAGTTTTCAAGAGATACGATTTTATTATTTGATAAAGCTCTTTGTAACTTCATCGCGCCAATCTATAGAGTCTAATGAAAAATTGTCTTCATTAAGATTTTATAGTTTTAGTTTTTAAGCCATTTTTAATAATTGATATGAGAAGACGGTAGCTAGAGATTTCTGAATGAGACGGATGCTATGCATGACATCCGCATGAGGGCCTAGAGCTGATGAGACTATTTAAGAATATGGATGCTTCTCCGTGCAACAACGATAAGAAAGCTAATCGCACAGATCGCCATTATTGCAATAGAATTTATTTCTTATTAACTTTAATTATATTGATTAATATTTATATTATATCTGTGTGGACCATGTCGCCTACACATAGTCGAATCACCATCATTCCCATCATATTCTATTGATAAGAAAGAAGTTCCACTTAGGCATGTTTCCTCTCGAGAACGACTGCTTTTTTGAACAGGTTCCTGAGCGGATGCTTTCTGAAACCCTACAATCTAAACCGCTTCAAAACAAAGATCAATTATATATCCTATATATCCTCATTATCTGCACTTACTTCCTCCTCTTACGTCCATAACAGTTTCATTCAGTAACTCTCTCCCTTGAGTGGCTCTTGGGCCTTGTATTTAGTTTTTAAAAAGTTTAATAATTTAAGAAAAAAATAATTTCACACATATATTTTTCAACAGAATCTTCTTTTTTGTTAAGGCACTTAATTCTGTGGGGAATAGTAATAACATAGATCGACCGCGTTACCGTTTAAGAACAAAATTCAGTTAAATACGTGTCGGGCGACGGATTTATTGACCCAATATTATGCCGTATTTTGTTATTGTCTAGTGACAAATAAATGGCCACTTTGTATTCGGAAAAGCGACCACAAAAACATTGCCCTCTAATTACCGGTGACCCGCCCACAATTACTATTTGACCAGACAGCACCTTCCCATTGTACGAGGATGGGTAGGGTGAGGGATATACATTGAAGATGGTGACCACAGTCCGAAGGAGCGATGAAGATTTCTAAGAGACCCACCTCAGGAAATCGATCGAGAGTCACGTTCTCTATCAGGTGAGAATGTCTGTACGGATTCCCCACCTTGAATCACAGACATTGTATCACAGTCTACGATTTCGGGGTGGTAAATAAAATGCCTCTCTCACGCTACTGTTTGCCTTGCACATTGTTAACGCCTCTCTTTTCCCAGAATAGAGTGGCTCCACGCGTAAACTTAAACAGGGAAATTGGATTAGGACATACGACTAATTTCATTTATGATCTGTTTGTTCCCGTTCGGGATTCGTAATCAATTATCAAATACAAGTAAACGCTTGTTTCGAAAGGTGATTCTCAAACTAGACCTAAGACTATAACTTGCAGATGAAAGATTTTATACTGAAATATACACCAGCTAAGTCCAGAGGATGATAGGTATAGCGAAGAAATAATAGCGGTTACAAGTTCTGAAATTCTCTATTAAGGACACTCAAAACATGACAGGAATACGATAAATAAACATAAAAGTGACAGACAGGAGTAAGAAATGAAGGGAATCATAAATAAAGATCGCTAGAGAAGAATTGGAAATAAAAGACGAAGAAATCAGAAAGAGGCACAAAAAGAAAGAATAAAGAATGAATGAATGAATGAATGAATGAATGAAGAAAGAAAGAAAAAAAGAAAGAAAGAAAGAATGAATGAATGAATTAATGAATGAATGAAAGAAAGAAAGAAAGAAATAATGTAAGAAAGAAAGAAAGAAAGAAAGAAAGAAAGAAAGAAAGAAAGAAAGAAAGAATGGAAGAAAGAAAAAGAAAAGAAAGAAAAAAGAAAAGAATGAATGGGAAAAGAAAGAAAGAAAAAAAAAGAAAAAGAAAGAAAGAAAGAAAAGAAAGAAATTAAAAAAGAAATGAAAAAGAATGAAAAGAAAAAGAAAGAAAGAAAGAAAGAAAGAAAGAAAGAAAGAAAGAAAGAAAGAAAGAAAATAATGAATGAATGGAAGAAAGAAAGAAAAAAAGAAAGAATGAATGAAAGAAAGAAAAAAGAAAGAAAAAAGAAAAGAAGACAGAAAATATTAGAAAAAAAAGAAAATTTTAGAAAAAAGAAAAGAAAAAAAGAAAAAATTAAGAAAGAAACCAGAAACAGAAAATATTAGAAAGAAAGAAAGAAGGAAATAAAGAAAGAAAGAAAGAAAGAAAGAAAGAAAGAAAGAAACGGTCGAGGAGAGAACAATAAAGAAACGTGGAGAGATGGATGGAGAAGAATTGGTTGAAAAAAAGATGAAAGGAATAGGAAAGACACAGATAACAGGAAATACTTGGAAGAAGAAAGATCGATAGAGAAAGACTGTTGGCACAAAATGAAAGATACAGATAAGACATTTAAACTTGAAACGTTTGAGCTCATTATTACGAATGATTGCTCAAAGAGAGGGGGGCCCACGACCATAACACGTTGAAACACCGGTTCTCTTACGATCACCGAAATTAAGCAACGTCGAGCTTGTCAGTACCTAGATAGGTGACCACTTGGGAATACCAGGTGCTGTAAGCTTGGATGTGCAGTGTAGATAACGGATCAGAATTGGAAATCGAAGAATCGCATTTCAAATCCAGTCGGATACGTTATATTGACTCATACGCGGACATGAAATGAATGAATCCATTTCTTTTCCCCACTCCCACAACCAGCTATGGTTTAATTAGTAAAGCTTGTATCAGTAAAAACCATTATCATCTCCCCCCCCCAAATTCTTTAAATCTAAAATTATTTTCTAGTTTTAAATAACCGGCAAAAGGTTGATAGCTCGTGAAAAAAAAATCAAAGAGAAGTAGTTAAAGAAAAGTTTTAAATTGAAAGTGACATAAACATATAAAAAAAACACAACGCCTCTTCTACTTCAACAGCGCACTTCCCGACAGTGGAACTCCCTTCCTCTTACTTGCTTCCCTGATAGCTATAATCTTCAAATATTCAAAGGAGGCACGGTGGATAGCGCTTCGAATTAAGGAATCGGAGAGCCGAGTTCGAATTCCTGTCGAATCCATTACATTCACTTACGTGCTAATATCTTTGGGAAAGCTATGAATCCTCTTCTTCTAACCCCCCAGCTATGGGTAAATAGCAGGATTCTATATGGCCATCTACTGCGGAAAAAATTATACTTTGTCACACATGTATCGAAAGATGCTTTGATCTTGATCCCCGTTCTTCTTTATCCTTTCCTCAAACATCCCTCTTTTCTCTTACTTCCATTCTCTGTAACCCCTTACATGTGGCACTTCCGGCTTGGCTTGTGGTGAAATGTTTTTAAAAAAAACTGGGGAAGAGAGACAGTTCTAAGTATTTGGGAAGATTTTAAAATACCAGAATCCACTGCTTGAAATATAAGATATTTGGTAAAACGAGATTCGTTCTTTCGGGGTTTTAACTTCGCTTTCTGAATCAGCTTGTCCTGTGACGAGTAAGGATGGTATCAGAATGAAGAAATGATAGTAACAAATCCTGTGCCAGCATTGGCAGGTGGAAAGCAATTAAGATAATATATGTCACTAGATAAAATTAACGTCACGTTAGCATTCCCATCAGCTTGCTTCGTGCAACAAACACCTGATGAACCCCCTGAATGCCTAGCGATCGAAACGTTGTGACGAAAACAACCAAAAGAAATGGAGAGGAAAGAGGAAAATAATAAATAAAGATCGCTGAAAAAGAATTTGACAGACGCGGGAAGCAAAATCGACACGAAAAATGAAAGAAATTCTCAAGCAGAAGACAGACGAAAATCAGAGAGAACGAGTGAGAAGAATTGGTTGAAAAAAAAAAGATGAAAGAAGCAGAAAAAAAAAACACAGATAATTTGAAATGAGTGAGGAAATAATAATTGAAGAAAGTAGAGAAATTGACAGAGAAGCACTGGTAGCAAAAAATGAAAGATACAGATATGACATCTAAGCTTAAAATGTTGGAGCTCATAATTACGAATGAGGACGCAAAGAGACGTCGTTGAAGGAGAATTTTGAATTAAAAAGCAACAAAAAAAATCATATAACAAATTCAGACAGTTCTAACAATACTAAGAGGAAGCATAAAGTTCCAGAAACCATTGCTTGTATCAGTAAAAACTATTATCATCTCCAAAAAATTCTTTAAATCTAAAAATATTTTCTGCTTTTAAATAACCGGAAAAAGGTTGATAGCGCGTAAAAAATAAATTACGCAATCAAAGCGAGGTAGTTATAGGAGAATTTTGAATTGAAAGTGACACAAACACAAATAAAAAAAAAACAAAAAAAAAACGTAACGCCAATTCCACTCCAACAGCTTCTTCTCTCGCACTTCCCAACAGTGGAACTCCCTTCCTCTTACTTGCTTCCCTGATAACTATAATCTTCAAATATTCAAATATAATGCCAATCAACATCTTCTGATACTTTAATCTTGATTCCAGTCTTCTCTTTCTTCAAACACCTCTCTTTTGTCTTCCTTTCACTCTCTGTAACCCCTTGTGTAGTAGTGTCACTCCGGCCTTGCTTTCGGTGAAATGCTTAAAAAAACCTGGTGAACAGAGACAGTTCTAAGAATCTGGGAAGATTTTTTGTGTGTTTGAATCCAGTGCTTGAAATATAAGACAGTTGGTACATATAAATGAAGATGAAGGTGAATTTTGAATTACAAGCAATAAAAAAAAAATGCAAAAAAAATGAGACAGTTCTAACAATGCTAAGATAAAGCCATTGCTTGAAACGCATAAAGTATTTAGATGGCCCAATGGATAAAAGCGTTGGTTGATTGATCCTAAAAGTGATCCAGAGAGTTGTGAGTTCAATCCCTGTCCTCAACGACGAGAACAAAACTTTGCGGGTAGAGATAACAAAAACTTATCAAGGCGAATTAACTAAAACTGAGATAACCAATGGTACAGGTAATTAGGACAATCTACACCCGTGGACTAAATAAGGAGGTTCGGCCTTAAATTTTCAACAAATAACGCCTAACGAAGACCGGGGCCCTCAACGGCCGAAACGTCGTGAATGTGACAATAAAGATGAGGACAACAGTAAATGTAAATAGGGTAAATAGTTATAGTACCTCATCTTAGAAATATAGACAGGTAACTTATGGTTAACTTTTATTAGTAAACTTTTTATTAGAATAACTCAGTCAGTTATGTGCCATGCGTGATACACGCTTAGGCCATCTTGTGTTTTTTGATACATGACAGATGAGGCGGATGTTTTTTTCCCCGCAGTAGGTTACCATTTCTTTCTGCGGTAGACCAGTTGCCATCCAAGGCTATAGAGCCCGGTCTTTCCTGATATTTACCCATAGCTGGGGAGAGAAGAGGATTCATACCTTTCCCGAGGGTCAGTTAGTCAGTTATGTGTCATACGTTATAGACGATTAGGTTGTCATTTCTTTCTGCAGTAGACTAGTTGCCATCCAAGGCTATAGAACTCTGTCTGTCCTGCTATTTACCCATAGCTGGGGGGAGAAGAGGATTTATACCTTACCCAAGGGTATTAGTAAGAGTAAGTAAATGTAATAGATTCGACTGGAATTCGAACTCGGCTCTACTACTCTATTTAAACACACACACGCACACACACATACATACATACATATATATATATATATATATATATATATATATATATATATATATATGTTATGTGCCATGCGTGATACACGCTTAGGCGATCATGTATCTTTCAATACATGACTGATGAGGCAGATTTTTTGTCGTAGTAGGTTGCCATTTCTTTCTGCGGTAGACCAGTTTCCATCCAAGGCTATAGAACTCAGTCTGTCCTTTTATTTATTCTTAGCTGGGTGGTGGGGGAGAAGAGGATTCATACCTCCAATTCCTCTATCCGAGCCGCTATCCGTGCCCCTTTAAAATAACTACGAGTTAAAAAAAAAAATGAAGCTGAACTTGATATTTAAAAACAAGCTCAGCTTCAAATTTAAAAAAAAAAATTAATTAACTACATCCACTCGAGGAAAGCTGAAGTGTCGAAATGGCTGCTATGAATCACCTAATAGCAGAAACATTTAAACCCGTGATAGATTGCTCCCTAACGCCAGTTACTCACAGTATAAGGTACCCTAACTCGAAGAAGCAATTGATGAAGTGAAACTGTACAATCATTTACTGAAGCATTTTGCCCCAACCTTGACACAAGATCTACAAATATGTGAACTGCTTAATTTCTAATTCACCGCCTGTAATTAAATTGTTCGTTCATTCGTTCGTTTCTGTCTATATCTCCGAGATGAGGTATTATGATTACTTGCATTATTTGCATGATTCGGACTCCAATCCTCATCTTTATTGGCATATTCAAAACGTTTCGGACGTTGTACGCTCCGGCCTTCTTCGGGTGATTGGATCTCTGAGATGAAGTATTTTGATTACTTGCATTACTTGCATTATTCGGACTGTTATGCTCATCTTTATTGCCATATTCAAAACGTTTCGGACGTTGTACGCTCCGGCCTTCTTCAGCTGATTGGATCGCTGAGATGAGTTATAATGATTACTTGCATTATTCGGACTGTTAACCTCAGCCTCATTGCCATATTCACAACGTTTCGGCCGTTTTACGTTCCGCCCTTCAGGTGATTGGATCTCTGTGATGACGTATTATGATTACTAGCATTATTTGCATTATTCGAACTTTTATCCTCATCTTCATTGCAACGTTTCGGGATGAGGTTGAAATAATAGATAGAGTGCATCACTGGAAAATACGAAAGTCTAAGGAATCAGCACACATGCTAAGCCACAAAAATCTCCTGAGCCGACTAGGCCTAGAAATGAATACAATATGTGAACCAGTAATATGGAGTGCTACAGAAAAGCAATGAATAACAAAGAAAAAAAAATTGCTATATAAGCTCTGGTAAAAATGCAATAATAAGAACAAAAAATTACAATATGAGCACTGGTAAGAAATGGTTGGTGAGACATTAGGTTTATATGTCCCAAAAATGCATACACAGATGTTCTCAAGGACACATGGCCCAGTGGATAAAGGCTAGACCCCAAAATTTGTGAGTTCAATACCAGGCTACAGTGAACCAAAAAACTTGGAGAATGGAGTTAAAGTAAAATAACTGAGACATCTGGATGAGCCCTAGCACGCAGAATTAGGACGAAATAAAGGATTCGGTTCGAAATTCCATTCCTGATGAAAACCGTGGCATACAAGGGCCGAAACGTTGAGAATAGGGTAATGAAGATGAGGATAACAGTCAATAACGTAAATTATGCAAGTATCAGTTCATACTGTATCTTTTCTTAATTTGAAATTGAGCTTTTGTAATGTGAAGTTGAACTTGTTGAATTTGATCGTAGAAAAGTGTAGAAAAAATATTGATAGTCTGTTTACATTTTTGTTTACCGGAAATTTTTAAGAGAAGTGCATATGTATAAGATTTTGAGATTAGTCTAATGGTTGCGAGCTCTGGATTAATCATTTCTCCTTCTTTCTAAGAGCAGAGAATTAATACTATTAAAATTTGATAATCCAAGCACTATTTTCTAAA